ATATGGAATCACATATAGAATTATATATAATCATATATAATTATATATAATCATACATGATTATATATGGAATTGTGTATGAGGTTATATATAATTATATATGACTATATATGGAGCGATATACAACCATGCAGGATTATATGAGTAAATAAGGAAAGTTTGTATAGCTGTAAGATAAATAAATTTATAACTTTGTTTTTTATTTGTCAATTTTTCGTAGAAACTAATGAGAGGAGGGGATTGGGTGTAATTAGGTCTTTAAGAAGAGCCTAAGCTATTAAAACTAATACGTTCTTTATTTCATCCTTTTTCCGATAAAATTTACGTATGTCATACAATTATTAATAAATTTTCTAAACTAATTAGATTTTGTCGAAAAAAAATTTAGAATCTTTGTTCTTTTGTAAATCATTGAAATTAAAAATACCGCGTAACTATATAATTAAAAATGCTTGTAATGGCTAGGTATTGATATAAGTATTAAAAAAAAAGTTAATCATAAAGTAATTTTTAATCTTTAATCAATTAAAAATTTGTTAACAATGCATTAACAAAACCGTATCAAATCTTGGTCATATACAATTTTAGTCCGGAAAAAACAATAAGTATAGAAGAGCTTAAGCTATTTGAAATTCAAATACACTGAATTTTGTGTGATGTAATTGAATTATGAACGAACTTCTAACGTTAAAATTTTTTCAACAAAACGGATGATGAATTTTTATTATAGATAATGATATATGTATAATAACTACCATGACATCATGTTATAAGAAGAATAATTTTTATTGCTCCAAATATAGTCTATATGGGCGTAGCATTATCTTTTTGTATAATTCTGATGTCTATGGAAGATATGTTTTATTTGGCGTTTTTAGATTCACTGAATCCAAAAATCACTATAACTTTTATGAAAACCTGGACATTCAATTGTTAAAAGGAATTTGTTTAGAAAACGACTTTTTTTTAATCTCTTGTTACGTCCGAATTAATTATAATTAAATAATTATTGGTAGTGTGGGCCTTGAGGAGGCTCGGACTCGTTTTAGATAAATTTTCTCTTGTAGGGAAGCTACAAGAGTTTTATTTTTAATGTGGGTTTTGAACGCCTCCCGGTAACCAAAAGTTCCAACGGTGAATTAAGAGGGAAGTCGATATCAAATACTGAACTTACAGTCGTCCTTTACGATATTTCCAGCAGATTTGAATTGGATTGGTTGGTCGGTAGATCCCGAGTTGAATTCTCTTCCTTATCTCGAGGTGAAGATCGATGTCGTGGAGGAAGTTTAGGATCTTAATTTAAAATGATGTAAAACACTAAGTTCTGGTTTTATAATTTATTCAACTATTAGCCCTATGGGCGTGGCGCACTCAATGCACAATGTTTCACTTATTAACTATTCACTTATAACTATATTTTATGATTTGGAATGTTTTATTATGAGTTCGTAACGACTCCGGCAGATACTTAGATCTGCCGTTAATTAAATAATAGAGCGAAAGGTTAAAATTTAGAGAAGGATACCACTGCGGATAACGGGGCTCTCGATTCAGCTCGAAGAGCACACTGACGTGACTCGTAGACGATATAATTTAAAGAATCAAATAGATGATAATGAATTTGGAGTTTCGTATAAGCGACCTAGTGCTTTATACTGCCTTATACGTAACGCGGTATAAGGACCCACACGGGTTCTACGAAGATACCTTCCTTCGTATTCTTTAATAAAAGACTGAACGTTTGATCTGTAGTGTTTGGTGGTTTTTATACACCCGGATCGTGATTTTTGGAAGGGAGTTAAATTTTGTTATTGGTCTAAATTTGCAATTTGACAGAACGTGGACAGTGTGCTCATTTCTTCATCGAGGTGTTGTCCGAGTGATTGCCGAAATTAACAAAGTGCAAGCGTTGTACTTTTCATCGAAGGGGAGAGACCCTGTTTGTTATATGAGGCAACGCCGGATATAACAAAACAAAATACAATTGATTTCGGCCCAAATATCCAGTTTCTTTATGCCCCAAAATTCTTTTCAGGGCCTTAAAAGACAATGGGTATCTTCGAAGTCATCCGCTGTTCCTTTCAATTCATATTGAACCTATTGTAAACACGTATGATCTTGAAAAATTAATGAAAGTAGGTCAAACCCGAGTATTTTCGATTGAGGCCCAAAAAATCAGGTTTCTTGATGCCTTAAAATTTGTTAATGGCCCTTAAAAATTTCAGTACACCTTCTGTGTCATCCTTCGTCCCTCTCGATATTTATTGAACGAATTCTGACCTTGCAAGACCTTTAAAAATATAAAAAAGTATGTCAAATTCAAGTAAAATTGATTTAGGCGCAAAAAATCAGGTTTTTTCATGCCCTTAATTTTTTTTTGGTCTTATGAAATTACAGTTTACCTTGTTAGCCATCCTTCGTCCCTCTGAATTTTGACAGAACCTATTTCGACCTAGTGTGACCTGGAAAAATCAAAACAAGTTGGTCAAACCCATGTATTATCGATTGAGGCCCAATAAATCAGGTTTCTTTATTCCCTCAAATTTTTTTATGGTCCTCAAAAATGACAGAGTACCTCCTGAGTCATCCTCCGCCCTCTCAATTGTTATTGAAACTATTTTGACGTTGTATGACCGTGAAAAATCTATGAAAGTAGGTCAAACCCGAAAAAAATTGATATAGGCCCAAAAACACAGGTTACTTTACGACCTAATATTTTTTTATAGTCCTTAAAAATTACAGAGTACCTCCGATGTCATCCTTTCTCGCTCTTAATTTCTATTAAACGAATTCACACCTAGTGTGACCTGGAAAAATCAATACAATTAGATCAAACTAAAGTATTATCGATTGAGGCCTGAAACATCACGTTTC